CTCACTGTGCTCAGTGCAAACGTGTACGCCAACGTTAGGACTTAATCCCCGACATCCTCCCGGCCGGGCGCCGGCGAAAAACTTTTACTATGAAGTAAAAGTTGATTGCCAGTTGAACATTTGGGAAGGAAGGTCTTTTCATTCAGGGATTGGTTGTGAATATCTTCATTGTCGACTCGATTGGGTCTGGAATTTCCCTGTTTCGATGACCATTAATCTATTGTGAAGGTGATATTGGTTGTAAATCATTGATATCTTCTGAAAGATAAGTCAATGGTCTGTCGTTTATTTTTGCTAATTGCTTCACTTGAGCAATTATGGTTTCCAAATCTGGGTGCATTATGTTATGTCATGTATACTTTGAATGTGAACAAATTATAATTACAATATGAAAGTTTTTAGTAGGTTAAGTTAAGGGACCGACTACCCTAAAATTTTCAATTTTGGCATTTTCCGGTTTTTGTGCTCATCTTGAACTGAAGCTTACTTTTTGACGCATCCAACCGTACCAGAATCATCCCTCTACATCGAAAAATGATTTCGTAACAGCCCCCCCAAGGGAGGGAGTTTTTAGAGCCCTTCAGTAGCTAAAGCATATGGGATTAATTAGAAGACTGGACACACTAAAAAGGAACGTCTGACATAAAGCGGCCAATCAAGGCATTATCTGGTGCTCATACTCATCTTAAAGCTTACTTTCTGACGATTCCATTGGTGGCAGAATCATCTTTCTACCTCCATTTTTACGTTCACCAAATCACTATGCCCCAATAATCTAGTCTGGAAAAGTCCTATTTTTGTCTGAAATATCGCGGCTCAAATATCATATAATTTCAGGGTATTATTGCAGATTAACTACATCCAAAAAAAAGGGTGTTTTTTTTTTTGAATTGTATGTTTTTTGGGGTGTAGATTACGAATCTGAAATCCATTTTTGGCGGTCGGCATCGGAAAACCGATTTTTTTCCGACCCAAAAATCGCGCTAAAAATGCCTAAAATCTGCGAAATCGGCGAAAAATCGGAAAACATTTTTGAACTAAATCGATCTGGGAATGACTAAAATGTTACCCGTTGCACTGCAACGGGTAAAGTGGGGCAGCGCCCCCCATTTGCAAACTATGACACTTTCCTCAAGTTTGTCATTTGCATATGTAACTAGAAGAGTTCTACTACAATGCACCAAAACCTGGAGTTATTTGGAGTTATTTTACCAAAAAATATAATTGATTTTACCACCCGGTCTAAGTTACCCCAAGAGCTGGGGTAACAAAGACCACCACTTTTTTTGAAATTACATAGAGACTATGAGAGGCAGGAGCCAGCAATTTATGGTGAGTGAAGCTAGAGTATAGACCTGTATTTTGCATGTTTCAATTCAAGTTTAATTTAGCTAGTAAAAAAATGGCATCATTTATAAAAATAAAAGTGGTCTAAGTTACCCCATTTTACGGTATGTGACAGTAGGTATGAAATCTCGCGGCTTGAATGTCATAAATTTATGTTTGATTAAAAAATCGCGGTTTGCACTTCGCAAACATGTCATTTCATAAAATTTTCAACTTCCGCAATCCGCATTGCTTTACCGTTCCCGCCAAAAATATCTTGCAGAAAAAACATGAAAATTGTAATGTAAACAAATCAACGAAACATTTTGTTGAAGATCGCGCATAGTTGTGGTCATGTCAAAGCAGTCAGACTGCATTAACGTGTGCTGAACTTACAGTAGACACAAATTTTATTGTTGCCGTTTGACTGTTTAAGGGTAAAATTAGAGATTTGGGGTAACACGTGCGTGGACTTTGTAAATAAATTTGCACCTTGTAAATGGCTTTTCATGGCCGAGATATGGAACTCACGCCTCACGGCTCGGTGAAATGGAATCACGGCTCGTAGAAATGGAATCACGGCTGGCAAATCCATTAAATCACGGCTCAAAAAATTCAGTCGCGGCTCGCCAAGTAGATATATTCCATGCCTGCGCCCCATCATCCCATGGAACGAGGGGCGGTGGGGGGCGGCCTTAACAAATTCCTAAGGCATTAATTATGGGGCGTGCGCGTGACTTGATATACTGCCAGATGCAGCCAGGTCTTTCAGTGCCCATCACATAGTGGCAAAGCAGAGAGTTTTTTAGACTCTCCCTCAAGTTCATTTTTGAGTCCTACAAGTAGACCAGTAAAGTATCCTGGATACAGGATACCAGCATTATCATACTTAAGAAATTGGTTCAAATCTTGAGTAAATGAGGAAATTAAAAATGAACTGATTATAAAAAAGCTCTGGTTTGTCACTATGGCCCATCATGACAGCGAGGTCAGAGGTGAAAGGTGTGCAGCCACTAGCTCTATGCCTTCCTCACTTAGTTTTAAGGCTTGGTTGCGGTATGTTGGCTACATTACGACTTTTTTACGTCATTTTACGTGCCGCCTGGCAGTTTTTTGGGCGTCCTGAAAACCTCCGATTGGTCGCATGGCAAACCTATCTCCTCCTACAGTTTTCAAGCTGCAGCAATGAGACATATACCATTCGATTCGTAAAGACCATACCTATAGAACTGATGATCATTTTTTTGAATTTCTGTCTGGTTTGTTTTTTATATGGGGGAGAAGGAGGGGGAGGGGGTAAAAATGAGAAAAAATGAGAAAAATGGGATAAAAAGCACATAAAAAAACTAAGGGGAAAATGAGAAAAATGATCAAATCTATAGGTATGGTCCTTACGAACTGAATGATATGTGTCTCAATGTTGTAGGATTCATTAGCTGCATAAAATACTCTCTGCTGTGCTGTGGTGGTCAAGTTCTGCCTCATTGAGTCATTGATCATAAAATGCATGCAATGATGCATCATGTCGATCATCAGGCATTGATTACATTGGTTGTAACTTGTAAGGTGGGTCACATGTGTGTAAGTGTTGTTCATCAGGCATTGGCACATCGATCGCACACAAAGCGCGAGCGTCAGAATTGATCATTGGGCATCAGCCACACTGATCATAAAATGCGTGCATTCATTTCAATCCTCATGCATTAAATACGTCGGTCATTAAGTGCGTGCGTAAGTGTTGAACTGTTGATCATCAGGCATTGGTTGCATCGATCACAAAGCGCAAGTGTCATAATCAATCATAGGGCATTGCTGGATCGGCCACATAGATCGTAAAATGCATGCATTCATCCATGTTGATCATGCCGCGTCGTTTGCTAAGCGTGAGCGTCGGAATTGAGCATCAGCATTCAGCCACATTGATCATAAAATGAGTGCATCCTTGTCAATCATGCCGCATCATTCTCGTATCATGAGCATCGGAATTGATCATTGAGCGTCGGCCACATCAATCGTATGATGCGTGCATCCGTGTTGATCATTGATCGTAAAGCACCGGCGTCTATTTTGATCATTGAGCAACAGCAGCATCTATCCCGCAAGTGTGTACGTCATTGTCGGTCATCAGGCAAATCAATTGTAAAGCGTGCACGTCAGTATCCATCATCAGGCATCAGTCAGAGATGCTCTTTCATTTTTCTAGCAAACATACTGGCAACTTTCTTCCCTTACGTACTGGCGTACATCCCAAAATGAACTTCCGGTGCCCACGCCGCACCTTCCAGACCATGGGCAATCAATTTTGGCGTCCTTGCCGTCTGGTCTCTGCAAACATCGGCATCCACCGTCTGTTTAGATGGTGCCATGGCGTCTTTTGGGCAGAATAATGGCATCCTCAGTCTATGTTGTGCCATACTCTACAGTCTACAGACTGCGGGAAAGCTGTAGTTGCGACCCTAATGTAGAAGTTTTCCATGCTTGTACAGCACTATCTTTATTATGCTGTTCGTGCATATTGCACAGCAGCATAAAAAATTGTTTTAAATCTTTATTAGAATCAGTAGATGAAGAAATTAAAATGAACAGATTCTAAAAAATCTGTGGTTTGGCACTAATCTCACAATGTTAAGTGCCATCCTAGTGGCAAATATTAAATATAATACTATTTGTGGTAGGTAGAAGCAAAAATTTTGCAGCGTAATGTTAGAATTCTAGCAATTGACTATGAAAAATTGAGGGCAAACTTTTAGTTTTTAAATTTTACTTAGAAATTGAAAGAGCCATAGCCCATAGGTTTAGGAGTGGACAAGAACAAGATTAGAATTTTACAAGTAATATTTAAAATCTCATATCTTGAAAATAGCATAATTTCAGTAAATATCAAATTGCGGCCCCATCAGTTTTTTTCAATTATTAAATAGGAGGTAATTCATTTATGGGAATCTAATAATTCACATTTCTCTGAAAATGGAGGCAAACTTCAAGTCATGACTAAGAAGTCTACAATTGACAGACAATTAAAATGAATCATAGTAATTTTTGTCACATTCATGTGTAGCCATATCCTGATTTTTCCAGTTTGGTTTGTTGACTTTAGTTTGTTGTTTGGCTGGTTGTCTGGGTTATTTGTTATTGCAGCACAGAAGTAGATCAGTACCTATAAAAGTATCATTATCATCATTGGATTTGCACATATAGTTTATGGTTGCCACTTGGTGATCATGACTAAACAGCATTAACATTTAACATTCATGAGAGTGAGGCTGAGTGAAGAGACTTATATTCCTTGTAAGAGATTCAATGCAATGTGAAATAGATAAAATTAGAAATGAACTGGTCTAAAAAAATCTTTTGTAAATGAACTGGTTTACAGAAAAATCTTTTGTTTGCCACTATGCCTTCAACTACAAATTTAAGAAAAATACCTACATGGTATATGGCCCCCAATGCAGTTGACTGATTGCCTGTGAAGTTGAGCAGTCAATCTTTAAAAGAAGAAAAGTTGTCTGTAGTGGTTAATCTAATGCTAGCTGGTAGCTGCCACCTCAGTGCTCACTATGTAACCCTGAGTCACCTTAATTGATAGCAAGTGCACTTCAGAAATGCATCACCAAGTAATACAAATGGTTCATATTAATTTGACTGTTTGAAATGGATATGTATTTTATCAAATCATAAACTGTCTCATTCAAATTAATTTTTTCATCATATTACAGTTTGTATCTAGGACAGGAGTAGAAATTTTATTCTAAACTTGCTGCAAGACTTCCTCAGTCTTGTGACTGCCAGTAGCCACTGCACAATGGCTCCACTGTCAGTTCCTTGTTCCTCAGGTGGGTCAGATTTTTCTTTGCTCATTTAGCAATTAATATGTAAAAATTATATGCTTACATTTCATTTCTTTATTATCATTCCTTATAGCATTTTCTTTTCTACCTTTGGTATGAATATTAAGACAATATCATGTGTAATTTGTCATAATGTATATTTATTTAAATATTTATCCATCTAGTGTTTAGTAAGCCATGTAACTATCATTAAACTATGGCTGTGGTGTACTTTCTGTGTATTTTAATATGCTAAATTCAGTGTTGTTTAAATCATTTCAACCCTAAGAGTAAAATTAGTTGAAGAATTTTGTTACATGTCATAGCATAAATGTTGTTAAATACTTCATTAAAAGCTCATTAAATACACAGTTATTAATTAAATAATAATATTTTAGGTCCTCCCCGCATCACAAACTATCTTCGTGCATACAGCAACGTCACCAGCAAGAAGAAAGACGATGAGGATCAGGATGATACATTGCAGGTGCTGGCTGCCAAGCGGGAGAAGCGGAGGCAAGAAATCAGGTGAGACTCACTGTTATCCTTGACTGTGTCTTATTCTTCATTTATTCCTATTGTATATAGGTCATCTAAATCAGATAAGATTCACTGTTATCCTTGACTGTATCTTATTCTTCATTTATTCATATTGTGTACCGTCGGCTAAATCAGAGATTCACTGTTATCCTTGACTGTATCTTATTCTTTATTTAATATAATTGTTTTAGTCATTAAGTGGGCATAGTCTGAATTGTTTGTAAGCGTGTCAACCGTGCAGGGAGAGCGGCGCCAGTTGGGCGCGCATCAAGAAGGGCGTGGAGAAGCTGGCTGCTGATGGAGACCTCAACGTCAACTGCTACCTCAAGGACCTCTATGACGTTGCCAGACAGGTGACCTGTGACAGGTGTTACTGCCTTACTGGTACATTGTGACAGGTGTTATGGGTGACTTGTGATGTGACATTACAGGCGACCTGTGACAGGTGTTACTGCCTTACTGGTACATTGTGACAGGTGTTATGGGTGACTTGTGATGTGACAGGTGTTACAGGTGACCTGTGATGTGACATTACAGGTGACCTGTGATGTGACATGTTACAGGTGACCTGTGATGTGACATTACAGGTGGTCTCTTATACACATCTAGATGTGTATAAGAGACAGGTATTTATTATTCAACTACAATAAAAAATTTGCATCACACGGGTACTAACGCTTGAAAAAAACATTTTCTGTGCAAATGAAATCGGATTGTGACTGCAATAATCAAACTACAAATCATTCTGGGGTAAAATGCTGCTNGGTGGCTGCAAGGTCAGGTCTAGGTGGCTGCAAGGTCAGGTCTAGGTGGCTGCAAGGTCAGGTCTAGGTGGCTGCAAGGTCAGGTCTAGGTGGCTGCAAGGTCAGGTCTAGGTGGCTGCGAGGTCAGGTCTAGGTGGCTGCGAGGTCAGGTCTAGGTGGCTGCGAGGTCAGGTCTAGGTGGCTGTGAGGTCAGGTCTAGGTGGCTGCGAGGTCAGGTCTAGGTGGCTGCAAGGTCAGGTCTAGGTGGCTGCAAGGTCAGGTCTAGGTGGCTGCAAGGTCAGGTCTAGGTGGCTGCAAGGTCAGGTCTAGGTGTGAGACTTGCCCTACCAGCTCCTCTAGGTTGTAACCAAGCTTACTGCGCTCTATTGCCGCTCTTAAGATCTACGCCTAGACGATAGTTCAGGTGGCTGTTAGTAGTTACTATCCCTAAGATCATAAAGTATAGGCCCTGGGCCTATACTTTCAAAGAAAGTTAAGAGATCGTAAGTTCATCAGCCAATCATTGACGGCCTTTCAAGCAATATCCATCAATCATAGACAAGAAAATAGAGCGTAAGTACTTACGTTCACTTAGCGAGTTTTGAAAGTATGGCCACCGGTGGCTGTGCTCTGAAAGCTTCAATTAACAGTTATTGATGATGACTATTTCGGTTGCGCTGTTTCTAGTATTTAAACTTACTTCTTTTAAACAGGTCACCACTGAAATTAAATTACGTTTTATCTGTTTTAACTGATGTTTTAATGAACTGAAACCAAGTGCAATAAAATTCCAGTGATTGGAACTTAGTCAAATTGAAGTTTTTTTTACAAGGTAGTTCCAGGCGTTTGGTTGTGGAGCTCAAACATTCTTACAATATAAAAAAGTTGCATCAATCATCTGGTGACACGGGTGATTGCAAATGCTTGAGTGCAACAATGTAAGAAAGAAATCAAAAACTGATATATAGTGTTTAGATCATCCATGCTCTGGAAAATACCACAAATTGAATGTATATTTGTTTTCTTCACGTCGTTTTACCATATAACCCAATGTATCCTTTATCCCCACGTCATACTAATGTGACACGCCACTCGCCATGCTCCCTAGGATGTCCCTAAGATCATAAAACTTTACTCACCAGGCTCCCTAGGATATCCCAAAGATCATAAAACTTTACTCATCAAACTCCCTAGGATATCCCTAAGATCATAAAACATTACAGGTTTCCATTAAAAAATTACAAAATAAAACATTAAAAGAAATAAAACATTACAGGTTTCCCCCGAGCTTGAGACGCGAGACGAAGTTTGCAGTTTGTTGTTCCGCGAGAGCTTCCCCCACCGCCACCTCCCCCAGCACAGCCGCCTGAGGGTGCGCCAGGTGGTGGGCGACGTGGCCAGCGCCCTCATTGACCGGGCACACCAGGTGGGCTGTAGCACCACACCAGGTGGGCTGTAGCTCCACACCAGGTGGGCTGATGCACCACACCAGGTGGGCTGTAGCACCACACCAGGTGGGCTAAAGCACCACACCAGGTGGGCTGTAGCACTACACCAGGTGGGCTAAAGCACCACACCAGGTGGGCTGTAGTACAACACCAGGTGGGCTGTAGCACCACACCAGGTGGGCTGTAGCACCGCACCAGGTGGGCTGTAGCACCACACCAGGTGGGCTGTAGCACCGCACCAGGTGGGCTAAAGCACCACTCCAGGTGGGCTAAAGAACCACACCAGGTGGGCTGTAGCACCACACCAGGTGGGCTGAAGCACCACACTAGGTGGGTTCACCACACTAATAATAAGTAGTGAACCAGAATAACGCCAAAGAATGGTTCGTGTGAACCACATTGATGTTTTGTTCCAAGTTTGATTGCGAGTTCTCATATAGCATCAAGTTTTGAGTAAAGTATGATGAATTGTTTATCAAAGTGTTATTAATAAAGTAATTTTCATCATGAATCATGGTTGTTAGATCTAATTAGAGCTGGTGCACGCTAATTAAGTGTTGTGTGCAGTGCGTGCAGAAGGTGGTGCACGCTAATTAAGTGTTGTGTGCAGAAGCTGGTGCACGCTAATTAAGTGTTGCGTGCAGTGTGTGCAGAAGGTGGTGGAGGCTAATTAAGTGTTGTGTGCAGTGTGTGCAGAAGGTGGTGGAGCTGGTTGGTGCAGAGGAGCTACAGGAACTCATGAATGTTCTCGAGAACACCGACAACAAACGCGAGATGTTCGGCTCGAACCTCAAGGTGTGTTCATAGTGTTCAGGTCATTATTTACAATGCTGTTTATTTATAAACTTACTTTATATTTATAACGCTGTTCATTTTGTTCATGGTATAAACTTTGTTTAGGACGTGAGTTTAAAACTCACATCAGTTGCATGTGACTCTTGCAAAAGATATTAAATATCAATTAATTTAATTGAGTTTGTACTTGTGAGATATGCCTTCATGGTTATCATTGCACCTAATAATTCGTAATGCTTATGAAGTTATTACATTTTACCACGTGATGCACAAATTTATAGATCCATTTTGACTTGAGCATTGGCTTGTATAGGTTGTGGCAAGTACATTTATTTATAAGAAATGGCAAGTATCAATGTAAATTTTCTTATTGTGTGTAAATTAACTTATGTTACTTTTTATGAAGTAACGTCTGTCATCATACATACAGTAACGTTTATTATTTTGTACAGACTATGCTATCTATCACTATCACTAGCTGTGCTATCTATCACTATCACTAGCTGTGCTATCTATCACTATCACTAGCTGTGCTATCTATCACTATCACTAGCTGTGCTATCTATCACTATCACTAGCTGTGCTATCTATCACTATCACTAGCTGTGCTATCTATCACTATCACTAGCTGTGCTATCTATCACTATCACTAGCTGTGCTATCTATCACTATCACTAGCTGTGCTATCNGCTGTGCTATCTATCACTAGCTGGGCTATCTATCACTAGCTGTGCTATCTATCACTAGCTGTGCTATCTATCACTAGCTGTGCTATCTATCACTAGCTGTGCTATCACTAGCTCCACAGGTGGCCGCTGTGCTGCAATAAGTGACAATTAATCAAGCTCTCATTACTAGGCCTATTTTTCTCTTCCTATGTTAATATTTGTTGAGAAGTTAATTTACGTACTAAGCGGGAGTACATAAGGTACTCTAATTATCGTTATTTTTTTGCAGGTATTATGTTGTGCTTGTACTTGAAATGTCCGAGGTTGCGCTCAAGACATTGAACTCAATATATTAAGCTCTACCTGAGGATCGGGTTACGTTGACTAAGGTAGTGAGGGATAAGTAAGACACATAAGTCCAGATAACGTATCTTGTATACGGGGTGGTAATACAGAGTTGCGATACAGAGGTATGAGCTACGGCATCGACCGTAAGGTCGGAGAACTCTAACGACACGCTACAATCGCGGAGTGCTTATCAGCTACTGGGGGCCTTACTTAAGGTTGCTAGACCTTTCATAAGCTTCGCTTCCGCCCACTACTGCGGTCTTGATCGCGTGATCTATCACGTGTCTATCAGATGTTGACTCGTCCTCAATCTCTATCAGGTCAAGTGGATGGACACCGGACAGAAATAAGAACAAATGAAATACATGAAATGTATTAATAAATGTATTTCATGTTTAATACATGAAACATATGCCCTTGTTTGCCCGTGACCTGGTGGACTAGGCCGTATTATTGCCGTGTGCAGGTGGGGGGCATGTGCCTGGAATGTCCCGTGCAGATCCTCCCTGGACTTATGAAGCTCACGCACTCAGAAAAATCTGAGACAAACTCGCCTGCGCTGACCCTGCAATACAGCAAGCCTGAACCACTCCCCAACAAGGTGGGTACGCGCGGTGGTATTTTATCAATCAACCTATGAACTTTCTTTGTCTTCACGTGAAATTCCTGAATTGAATGCTTAAATTCCCCAGTCGGCGTATCTTGGCTTATCTTAACCTACACCTTATGTGCCCCTACTGGCCCATGCCCCCTCATGACACCCATGCCCCCTCATGACACCCATGCCCCCTCATGACACCCATGCCCCCTCATGACACCCATGCCCCCTCATGACACCCATGCCCCCTCATGACACCCATGCCCCCTCATGACACCCATGCCCCCTCATGACACCCATGCCCCCTCATGACACCCATGCCCCCTCATGACACCCATGCCCCCTCATGACACCCATGCCCCCTCATGACACCCATGCCCCCTCATGACACCCATGCCCCCTCATGACACCCATGCCCCCTCATGACACCCATGCCCCCTCATGACACCCATGCCCCCTCATGACACCCATGCCCCCTCATGACACCCATGCCCCCTCATGACACCCATGCCCCCTCATGACACCCATGCCCCCTCATGACACCCATGCCCCCTCATGACACCCATGCCCCCTCATGACACCCATGCCCCCTCATGACACCCATGCCCCCTCATGACACCCATGCCCCCTCATGACACCCATGCCCCCTCATGACACCCATGCCCCCTCATGACACCCATGCCCCCTCATGACACCCATGCCCCCTCATGACACCCATGCCCCCTCATGACACCCATGCCCCCNTTACCTCCTCCAGGAGTGATGACGAGCTGCAGAACGAGGTGCTGGGGTAATAGGTTATCCAGAGGTTATTGTTAAGCAGAGCCATTCCAACATACGACAATTCAGACCGCTCAATATTGTGGTGATGTCACCCATGGCGAGGAGACTGCAAGTCATCCATGTTTGCGTGTTCCTGACATAATGTCCATCTTCATCTCTGGTGCATGTGTATTGCTGGTTTCTTTCTCAAAGTTTATTTGTTCTAATAGTTTTTTTATGTCATTGTATTTGAGTTCATTGTCCGCCAAAACTTCCTGATATTCTATGCATGAGTGCAAAATAGCTTGAGTGCGCATGAGCGCAGAATAGCTTGAGTGCGCATGAGCGCAGAATAGCTTGAGTACCTCCCACCTTGACTTAGACTTGACAGATGATGCAGCGACATATTGAAGGTACCATGAATAGGTCATAGCTTGGTCAGGGTTGGTCACGCTTACCTGACATTGCAGCTGTTCGACTTCCTGGGCTTCGAACGCTTCGAGCTCATCCAGAAGTTGCTGTCAAAGCGCCGCGTGCTGACCACCGCACCCAGCAAGCAGCACAAGCTCGCCGTCCTTAAAGGTGCCCTCTTTATATACATCTTGATTATTGTAGCCTGCTAACCCTGTTGATTATTGTTGTCTGCTAACCCTGTTGATTATTGTAGCCTGCTAACCCTGTTGATTATTGTAGCCTGCTAACCCTGTTGATTATTGTTGCCTGCTAACCCTGTTGATTATTGTAGCCTGCTAACCCTGTTGATTATTGTTGCCTGCTAACCCTTGTTGATTATTGTTGCCTTCTAACCCTGTTGATTATTGTTGCCTGCTAACCCTGTTGATTATTGTTGCCTGCTAACCCTGTTGATTATCATAGCCAGCTCCCCCTGTTTAATATCATAGCCAGCTCCCCCTGTTTAATATCATAGCCAGCTCCCCCTGTTTAATATCATAGGCAGCTCGCCATATTTAACCAAATAAAATGCATCAGTTCAAGCCTCCCTAACTAAGCTTAAGGTGACAGAGGAGCTGCAGCAGCAACACCCTGGGCCAGAGTGTGACCGTCATGAGCGTATGTTTATAAATAATAAATATAAAGGTTATAAATAATAAATATAAGCTTAACGTGACAGAGGAGCTGCAGCAGCGGGGGCACAGCTTCAGCAGCAACACCCTGGGCCAGAGTGTGACTGTCATGAGCGAGACCGAGAAGACCTTCCTGAAGCAGGCGAGGAAGGAGGAGAAGAAGATGATGAAGACGGCACGGCAGCTCGCTGACGACGACAGCGTCCAGGACTTTGATCCTGCCGCCCTTAAGGCCAAGAGGTTATTTGGCGTCTTGTAATGTTATTGACGTCTTCAATTATACTAACTTAGCATGTGACGTTGAAATAAGGACTTTGATCCTACCGCCCTCAAGGCCACAGATGTTATTGACGTCTTGCAATGTTATTGACGTCTTGTCGATATAAAACCCATGACAATACAATAAAACCATCGACAATGAAACCCCTGTATTTATCTGACGCAGACGTTTTAATGGCAGGGAGCTGGCGCTGCTGTATATTCCTCGGCTTTATTATATTTCTGTTGTCAATATTGTTGTTCTAGTTGCTATTGTTACACTAGTTACACAAATTACACTAATTACACTTGTTTGTATTAGTAATGCATATGTTTTAATGACAGGGAGCTGGCGCTGCTAGGCGCTAGTGAAGCGCTGCTGCTGAAGCGTGACCGGCCGTTCGCCGCGCCCCAGGTCGTCTATCCTTACGTCTACGATAACTTCGCTGCAGCCAAGCAGACTGCAGGTGAGGCAGACTAGGTGAGGCAGACTGCAGGTCGTCTACCCTTACGTCTACGATAACTTCGCTGCAGCCAAGCAGACTGCAGGTGAGGCAGACTGCAGGTCGTCTATCCTTACGTCTACGATAACTTCGCTGCAGCCAAGCAGACTGCAGGTGAGGCAGACTGCAGGTCGTCTATCCTTACGTCTACGATAACTTTGCTGCAGCCAAGCAGACTGCAGGTGAGGCAGACTGCAGGATATTCTTGTGTATTAATCCTTGTAGGATTAATAATTGATTGTAGGATTGTTCATTACGGATTAGTTGCAGGATTTATCCTTAATGCTGCACTTTTCTTGCAGGATTAATATTCAATGCAAGGATCAATCCTCAATTTAACGCATAATCCTTAATTCAAAGATTAATAACCAATCCAAAGGTTAATCCCTAGTTCAAGGATTAATTCTGTCATGATTAACCAGTGCAGTATTTGTCATTAATCCGAGGATTAATCATTGTATTATTATATGTGTGTCCTCTTGTCATGGTATTAATCTCTTTTATTGTTAGATGAAGAATGAATTACTTGCTGTTCTTCAAAGGATTTATTCTGAATCTCTTCTCTGCACTTTCGCGTTATAAATAATAATAATGAATGCATGATGAATGTATGAATAATAAATGCATGATGGATGTATGAATAATAAATGCATGATGAATGTATGAATAATAAGTGCATGATTAATGTATGAGTAATAAATGCATGATGAATGTATGAATAATAAATGCATGATGAATGTATGAATGAATGTATGATGAATGTAACCCCTGTTGCAGGGTTTGTGTCGGGGCAGCGGCTGGTTCTCCCCGAGGGGTTCACGCGCACCAGCGACGCCGTCAAGGAGGAGGTCGAGATCCCCAAGAACGACCCCGCCCCTCCTGACGTGGGGGCTAAACTCATCCCCATCTCCACGCTGGACCAGGTGGGTCATGCTGGACGAGTCATGCTGGACGAGGTGAGTCATGCTCAGTACCCCCATAAGTACCCTCATGTAGGCGCAGTACCCCCACAAGTACCCTCATGTAGGCGCAGTACCCCCACAAGTACCCTCATGTAGGCGCAGTACCCCCACAAGTACCCTCCTATATGAGGCATTAATCAAGTACCCTTGTGTGTGCAGGTCGGTCAGGTCGCCTTCAGGAACTGCAAGACCCTAAACAGGATCCAGAGTGTGGTGTACCCCGCAGCGTACCACAGCAACCACAACCTCCTCATCTGCGCCCCCACCGGTGCAGGCAAGACCAACATCGCCATGCTCACCGTCGTCCATCAGATCAGGCAGCACATGGACGAAGCCGGCGTCATCCAGAGGGACAAGTTCAAGGTGCGTCATTCAGAGGGACAAGTTCAAGGTGTGTCATCCAGAGGGACAAGTTCAAGGTGTGTCATCCAGAGGGACAAGTTCAAGGTGTGTCATCCAGAGGGACAAGTTCAAGGTGTGTCATACAGAGGGACAAGTTCAAGGTGTGTCATCCAGAGGGATAAGTTCAAGGTGTGTCATCCAGAGGGACAAGTTCAAGGTGTATCATCCAGAGGGACAAGTTCAAGGTGTGTCATCCAGACGGACAAGTTCAAGGTGCGTCATACAGAGCGATAAGTTCAAGGTGCGTCATCCAGAGCGATAAGTTCAAGGTGTGTCATCCAGAGGGATAAGTTCAAGGTGTGTCATCCAGAGGGACAAGTTCAAGGTGCGTCATCCAGAGGGACAAGTTCAAGGTGCGTCATCCAAAGATATTGAGGGTGGCCAAAAAGGCTGCTGCCTCCACGGGACTGTCTCACATGAGGAGTCGCTGAGGCTTGTAGGGCAAGAAGGGCAGGCGAAGAGATGTTGCGTAGACTGAAGGTGGTCCCACATTCGGGGCAGGAGGCGCTAGGAGATTGCCTGACTCTAAAGGTATAGGATGCCAGGGATCTGTAGTATACTGAAGTTGGTCCCACATTCAGGGCAGGAGGCGCTAGGAGTTTACCTGACTCTAAAGGTATAGGATACCAGGGGATCTGCAGCGGTCCGACACTCTGATCTTTGCCAACGCTGAGCGGTGGGGGCAGGGAAGCCAGGCTTCGTCTGATGCGATGGTATGTGGTGGGGTAGCTATGCCTTCTTGACTAGAACGGCCCAGGCAACGCTGGTGGACTTGACTAGACCGGCCCAGGCAACGCGGGTGGACTTGACTAGACCGGCCCAGGCAACGCGGGTGGACTTGACTAGACCGGCCCAGGCAACGCTGGTGGACGGCTCCCGGCGTAGAGTCCGTTGCGTCTCATTGTATGAGCTGGCAGGCAAGATACCTCATGGTCAAATGACGACCTCTAGGTGGCCAAATCTGGACAGGAGGCTAACCTTCACGGGTCCAATTCCAAGGGATGAGCAGGGTCGATGGGAAAGGTAGGGTGTGAGGGCCTGAGGACACTAGCCAGGAACTGCTCACATGCGAACGGTTGTCTCGGGGTTGAGGCCTTCAATAAGGCGACGGGGTAGCTGGTGGCAGATGCACGTGATGGTTCTATAGGTGGCAACGACATCTTAATTTGAGAATCTGTAATTGGTACCGGCTATGGCTTTTAAGGTACGCAGGGTGCCGGTGCCCTTTCTGACGATAACCTTGACGTTTGGGGCAAAGGTGTAATGATCCCATATACTCCCATGAATTGTTGTCTTTGTCTAGTGGAATGGGCTGTTGCCTAGTCGAGTGAAGTGAGTGACAGAGAATTTAGCCGGGGCTACAGTTAGCTTTTTGGCGGCGGCTGTGATGGCAGCAGTTGTTGGTCTATGTTATGTGCATTGGCTGGTCGAGTTCAATTTACTTTCTGGCCTGTAAAAAGTTTGTTCACTTGACTCACTGGCCGTGGAGAACTGTGTTCACTTGACTCACTGGCCGTGGAGAACTGTGTNACCCACATGCTCGTCACCACGCCTGAGAAGTGGGACGTCACCACCAGGAAGCCAGGTAATGACATGCACCTCACCAAGGCAGAGATGATGGCAACCCACATGCTCGTCACCACGCCTGAGAAGTGGGACGTCACCACCAGGAAGCCAGGTAATGACATGCACCTCACCAAGGCAGAGATGATGGCAACCCACATGCTCGTCACCACGCCTGAGAAGTGGGACGTCACCACCAGGAAGCCAGGTAATGACATGCACCTCACCAAGGCAGAGATGATGGCAACCCACATGCTCGTCACCACGCCTGAGAAGTGGGACGTCACCACCAGGAAGCCAGGTAATGACATGCACCTCACCAAGGCAGAGATGATGGCAACCCACATGCTCGTCACCACGCCTGAGAAGTGGGACGTCACCACCAGGAAGCCAGGTAATGACATGCACCTCACCAAGGCAGAGATGATGGCAACCCACATGCTCGTCACCACGCCTGAGAAGTGGGACGTCACCACCAGGAAGCCAGGTAATGACATGCACCTCACCAAGGCAGAGATGATGGCAACCCACATGCTCGTCACCACGCCTGAGAAGTGGGACGTCACCACCAGGAAGCCAGGTAATGACATGCACCTCACCAAGGCAGAGATGATGGCAACCCACATGCTCGTCACCACGCCTGAGAAGTGGGACGTCACCACCAGGAAGCCAGGTAATGACATGCACCTCACCAAGGCAGAGATGATGGCAACCCACATGCTCGTCACCACGCCTGAGAAGTGGGACGTCACCACCAGGAAGCCAGGTAATAGTACACACTCAGAAAAAATATAACTCAGTACTCACTGTAGTGAGTGACAGAGAGCACATTTTCTCGTCGACGAAAACTTGAGGTCAGGGACAGACGGACGGACAGACGGACATGGCGAGCACAATAGTGCATTTTTTCCATAAATGAGAAAATGCGCTAAAAATGACGGCACAAATTGTCCATAAGTTGACACGAGCAGAACTACTGACCGCGCCAGCAGAAAGCCTCGTAGCTGTGATACGCCTCATTGATACCGGGGTCCAGATAAAATATAAAATATAAAAAGTGCACTGATATTTGGGTGGTATGTCTCCGAGTGTGACGTGGCCAGTTTTCATGTTCACATTTTCATTTATTCATACATTCGTGTCATTTTCATTATATTGCTTTATTTTATACTTGTATCGCTGGTGTTCAGCCTTGAGGTGCTCAGATTTTCTCATAAATAGGCTTAGTGACTTTGAGTGTTAGGGACGTAGCAGTTCCAGGCCACGCTGGAGCGTCGCCTCAATATTTTGCAGACTTCAGCCCCAACAGGAGAGTGTTCCTCACCGCCAACGTCACTGGGGCCTGTCTGTGCAATAAAGAACCTTGATACGTTGTCTGAGTTTGGTCTTCATCCGGCAAGAGATGCTCTTTCAGATCCATTTCAGCTTTTTCTGAGACATCACCCTGTGCTTTGTTTCCAAATCTTTACATCGACTGTTTCCTCTTCTATTTCTCTGCACTCTAATTGATTGATCTTCGTTAGGCCCTTGTTTTTGCCAGGGCCGCTTTAAGGCCCGTTTACACTAGGGGCAACACACTGGCGTCAAGCGCCCCACCGCCCCTCTTCGTGCGCTTCTTGTGGGCAACTAATTATTAGCGATTGACGAGCTAACGATTCACAGGCGCACTCAGTGGACGGCTGTCCGTGGTCTAGCGAGGTTGTCTGTATACGCTGGTCCTTCACTCACGCTGGCCCTTCACTCACGCTGGTCCTTCACTCACGCTGGCCCTTCACTCGCGCTGGTCCTTCACTCGCGCTGGTCCTTCACTCACGCTGGCCCTTCACTCACGCTGGTCCTTCACTCGCGCTGGTCCTTCACTCGCGCTGGTCCTTCACTCACGCTGGTCCTTCACTCGCGCTGGTCCTTCACTCGCGCTGGTCCTTCACTCACGCTGGTCTCACGCTGGTCCTTCGCTCACGCTTGTCCTTCACTCACTCTGGTCCTTCACTCGCGCTTGTCCTTCACTCACGCTGGTCCTTCACTCACGCTGGTCCTTCACTCACGCTGGTCCTTCACTCACGCTGGTCCTTCACTCACGCTGGTCCTTCACTCACACTCTAGTAGAGAGGCTAATTGATCTGTGTAGAGACCATGAATGCCTGTAGAGAGTTCAGTCATAGAAGTATAAAAGTCAAAATGCAAAAGAACAAGTTCTGTGAAAATAGTTGAAGTTTTAAGAAACTTTTGTATACAAGCTACCATTGTCGAGGTTCGCAAAAAAATTCATACGTTGCGTTCGCAATTACATCGTGAAATGAACTTCATCCTGCTTCCGGATGAGTAGCATTATTTTCTTTAGCAGACTGTCAAACAAGTCCACTGGCAGTCTAGTATAATTTTGAAAGTCTGATACATTCGCAACTGATAATTCTTTAAAAATGTAATTGTGTGAACCCCCTCTCTTCTTTGCAGCCAATTTTTCACCCGAATACGGTGACACCTACATCTTTTCTTAACAGCAGCACACCCGAGAACAATGGCCTAGAGCTCAAATTCGGATACATCCATCCTCACTGACGTCTAACTGACAACTAATCTTCAAAGCGCGCGGTCTCGAGCTACTGCGTATAAAAATACTATAGCGTATTTTTTTTAGCGTAGCTACCGCATATAAAATAAATGTCAACGGTTGTGGGCGGTGAGACGCTGCAGCAGGCGCTTCACCGCCCATATCGTTGCCCCTAATGTAAACGGGCCTTTAGAAGCTTTTTTAATATTGAGTTCGTTAAGAGATGAGGGAATTTTAGATATTTTTTTCAGGAAAAATCATTTGCTTGCGATATAATTATGGATAAATGCATAGTTTGCGAGATTTTTCTGAGAAATTTTGTTGTGTTGCAGGCGACACGCAGCTGGCGCAGCTGGTGAAGCTGCTCATCATTGACGAGGTGCACCTCCTGCACGGCGACCGCGGGCCTGTCCTCGAGACCCTCGTCGCCCGCACACTGCGCATGGTGGGGCGGTGTGCCTGATGGGGCGGGTGGTGGGGTGTGCCTGGTGGGGTGGTGGGGCTGTCTCTTATACACATCTTAAATAANATCATGACCCTACATCATGACCCTACATCATGACCCTACATCATGACCCTACATCATGACCCTACATCATGACCCTACATCATGACCCTACATCATGACCCTACATCATGACCCTACATCATGACCCTACATCATGACCCTACATCATGACCCTACATCATGACCCTACATCATGACCCTACATCATGACCCTACATCATGACCCTACATCATGACCCTACATCATGACCCTACATCATGACCCTACATCATGACCCTACATCATGACCCTACATCATGACCCTACATCATGACCCTACATCATGACCATGACCCTACATCATGACCATGACCCTACATCATGACCTTACATCATGACCCTGTATCATGCGGTGTGTGCAGGTAGAGTCGCAGCAGACGATGGTGCGCATCGTCGGTCTCTCAGCGACGCTGCCCAACTACTGCGACGTGGCAGAGTTCCTGCACGTCAACCCCTACACCGGCCTCTTCTTCTTTGATGGGTGCGACACGTCCCTTCGTCATCAACATTATGTCATCAACACTCATTAACTGTGTCATCAACGCTCATTAAATGTGTCATCAACACTCATTAACTGTCATCAACACTCATTAACTGTGTCATCAACACTCATTAATTATGTCATCAACACTCATTAACTATGTCATCAACACTCATTAACTATGTCATCAACACTCATTAACTGTGTCACCAACACTCATTAACTATGTCATCAACACTCATTAACTGTGTCATCAACACTCATTACTACTTCTTTGATGGGTGCGACACGTCCCTTCGTCACTCATTAACTATGTCATCAACACAACTCATTAACTATGTCATCAACACTCATTAACTATGTCATGAACAGTCATTAACTATGTCATCAGCACTCATTAACTGTGTCATCAACACTCATTAACTGTGTCATCAACACTCATTAACTATGGCATCAACATTAACTATGTCATAAACACTCATTAACTACGTCATCAACACTCATTAACTATGTCATCAACACTCATTAACTATGTCATCAACACTCTTTAACTGTGTCATCAACACTCATTAACTATGTCATCAAGACTACTCATTAACTATGTCATCACCACCACTCCTTAACTATGTCATCAACACTCATTAACTATGTCATCAAGACTACTCATTAACTATGTCATCACCACCACTCATTAACTATGTCATCAACACCACTCCTTAACTATGTCATCAACACTCATTAACTATGTCATCACCATCAGTCATCAACTAGGCGTCACATCAATTTATCTATTTATGCATAACTTTTTACGCATAACCGTAGTCAGCAAAACAATAATAATGTCAGCAGTGAGCTGAACAATTTAATTAAGTTCTAATTTTCCTGCTGACGACAGGCGGTTCCGTCCGGTGCCGCTGGGGCTGACGTTCTGCGGCATGAAGGCGATGAGTCGCCTGCGCCTGATGGAGGAGATGGACAGAGTGTGCTTTGACAAGGCGCTCCACTACGTGCAGAAGGGCGAGCAGGTAAGGCGTCCATCTTTATTATCACATGCAATATTTCGTTCGTTAATAATTCGTTATGGAATGGAAATAACGTGGCACTGGTGCGTGCAGGTGGTGTTCGTGCACGCACGTAACGGCTACTAATTCGTTATGGAATGAAACTAACGTGGTACTGGTGCGTGCAGGTGATGGTGTTCGTGCACGCACGTAACGGCACCCTACGCACGGCCGAGAACCTTATCAAGCTGATGCAGGAGCACGGTAAGGGCGAGGCGTTCGCCCCAGAGTCGTGCCCTGCCGTGACGCGGGCCCGCCACGACCTCGCCCGGTCCCGCAACAAGAAGCTCAGCGAACTCTTCGACCACGGCTTCGGGGTGCACCACGCCGGGCTCCTGAGAGCCGACAGGTGCTCTTATTTGTATTATTTGTATTATAAAACTTAATGATAACGTGGAGCACTAATGATAACGTGGAGCAGTGAGCACTAATGATAACGTGGAGCACTAATGATAAACTCTTCGACCACGGCTTTGGGGTGCACCATGCGGGGCTCTTGAGACACGACAGGTGCTGTTATTTGTCTTATTTATATTATATAACTTAATGATAACGTGGGGCACTAATGATAACGTGGAGCACTAATGATAACGTCGAGCACGGTGATTCTAATCACTCTTATATTATTTACTAGTATTAGTATTAGTATCTCTGGTAATAATCACCGAGCTGCATTTTTGCCTACATAATGACTAGATATTTTCAAAACATTGTTTCCATCATCGATATTGTTACTAGTATACTTGCTATGTTTTTAACCCTCTACTGCCGTGTGTCACTCTCCGGGAACATAACTTTCAACTTGAATTATACGTAAACTATCGAGTGTAGCAACCTGAGGACGCTTGTACGCAACAGAGAACATTTTAAAGTTAAACTTTCAACTCAAATTATACGTAAACTATTGAGTGTAGCAACCTGCATGGGGACGTTTGTACGCAACAGAGAACATTTTAAAGTTGTCGTACGTAGCGGCAACCATCAGTGCAAGTCATTTTGCGCTCACTTGAACGTATCCTTTTTGGGAAGTAGGCGCGTGACAATATTGCTCCGGTTACTCATGTTACTAATATTATTATATTATATTATAGTATATTATATTATATTATAGTATATTATATTAGTAATATTAATATACTACTAATATTGCTCCGGCTACTTATATCAGGCGGTAGAGGGTCAGGTCAACCATGAATTCTGCCGTCATCTACGTCATCATTATTTTCAAATAAATTAACGATTTTACTTGATTGATTAAACTAACAAATAATTTAAGCTTTTTTCTTTGATTAAATACATTTCCTATTAAATGTAAATATATGTAAATATTTTTATTGAATCAGTTAGATTCCAAATCGATTAAACATTTTACTTTGATAAAGTAAATTCTGAAATTAATTGATACGTATTGCCATGTGGGTAATGACCTTACAAATTGATTAAACATTTATATTTATAATTAAACATTTATTAACAATTTTATTTGCTTGCCTAAACTTGTGTGATGTAGGCTGTGGTGTGCAGGTCGCTGATGTTGTGTGATGTAGGCTGTGGTGTGCAGGTCGCTGATGTTGTGTGATGTAGGCTGTGGTGTGCAGGTCGCTGATGCNCATCACTTGTTGTCCTCCATCACTTGTTGTCCTCCATCACTTGTTGTCCTCCATCACTTGTTGTCCTCCATCACTTGTTGTCCTCCATCACTTGTTGTCCTCCATCACTTGTTGTCCTCCATCACTTGTTGTCCTCCATCACTTGTTGTCCTCCATCACTTGTTGTCCTCCATCACTTGTTGTCCTCCATCACTTGTTGTCCTCCATCACTTGTTGTCCTCCATCACTTGTTGTCCTCCATCACTTGTTGTCCTCCATCACTTGTTGTCCTCCATCACTTGTTGTCCTCCATCACTTGTTGTCCTCCATCACTTGTTGTCCTCCATCACTTGTCCCCCATCACTTGTTGTCCTCCATCACTTGTTGTCCTCTCTCATCACTTGTTGTCCTCCCTCATCACTTGTTGCCCTCCATCACTTGTTATCCTCTCCCATCACTTGTTATCTCTCATGACTAAGAATAAAGTTATTTCGCCTATCTTGCTATAGTTGATAGCTCGTAAATGCTATACTTTACTCCAAGCAATTGTTGATATGTATTTCTCTCTACGGCTCGTGAAGGTTAGTTCTCAAATTATCTAGAGATAAGATATTCAACAATAGAAGATTATAGATTAGAGATTAACCCCACTCTCACAACCCTAATTTAACCCCACACTCGCAACCCTGATTAACCCCACTACCCTGATTAACCCCGCACTCGCAACCATGATTAACCCCACTACCCTGATTAACCCCTCACAACCCTGATTAACCCACCACAACCCTGATTAACCCCACACAACCCTGATTAACCCCCCACAACCCTGATTAACCCCCCACAACCCTGATTAACCCCCCACAACCCTGATTAACCCCCCACAACCTGACCACGCCCTCCCCCACAGGGCACGGACATCTACGACAGCAAGCGCGGGGAGATGGTGGACCTCGGCATCCTGGATGTGCTGCAGATCTTCGGTCGCGCGGGGCGCCCCCAGTTCGACTCTAGCGGCCAGGGCATCATCATCACGACCCATGAGCGGCTGGTGCACTACCTCTCCCTCCTCACCAACCAGTACCCCATCGAGAGCTCCTTCATCAACCACCTCGCCGACAACCTCAACGCCGAGGTGCTGCCTCCTGGGCATGCCTATTTCTGGGTGTACTATAGTCTATCTCTGCAGTGCATTCCTATTTCTGGGTGTATTATAGTCTATCTCTGCAGCGCATACCTATTTCTGGGTGTACTATAGTCTATCTCTGCAGCGCATACCTATTTCTATGCATCATAGTCTATCTCTGCAGCTCATACCTATTTCTTGATGTATTATAGTCTATCTCTGCAGCTCATACCTATTTCTTGATGCATTATAGTCTATCTCTGCAGCACATACCTATTTCTTGATGCATTATAGTCTATCTCTGCAGCGTATACGTATTTCTTGATGCATTATAGTCTATCTCTGCAGCGTATACATATTTATTGATGCATTATAGTCTATCTCTGCAGCGCAAACCTATTTCTTGATGCACCTGTCTTCCCTCTCCCACCTGTGACGTAAAAGGACTTGATAGAATTGATGTTATCTCCCGAATTAATATATTATCTGTAATAGATTTGTTGTTTTGACAGATAACTCTGGGCACCGTGACCAACATTGAGGAGGCGAAGGCATGGTTGAAGTACACCTACCTCTACGTCAGGTGTAGGAAGAACCCACAGGTGCGTGGCTGAAGTACTCCTACCTCTACGTCAGGTGTAGGAAGAACCCGCAGGTGTGTGGCTGAAGTACTTCTACCTCTACGTCAGGTGTAGGAAGAACCCGGAAAGTCAAACACTAACTTTTTTTTGCACTATAAGTTTTTGCTAAGCCAAATAACCGTTCGTTTTCACCATCATTACCCGTTGCCGTACTGCGGACTCACTATCACCCACAATTCCTCACCATCACCCCCCATTCCTCACCATCACCCCCCATTCCTCACCATTTCATGTGTTGTTGTGTGTCATGTGTTGTTGTGTGTCATGTGTTGTTGTGTGTCATGTGTTGTTGTGTGTCATGTGTTGTTGTGTGTCATGTGTTGGTACCTGTACAGGATACCTGAACGCCACCGGTCCTGCCTCACGCCGCATATGTGTCGTGTGTCATGTATTATATGTGTTATTGTGTGTCAGGTGTTATGTGTTGTTGCGTGTCATGTTGTATTATGTGTTGCTACGTGTCATGTAGTATTATGTGTCATGTGTTATGTGTGTCATGTATCCTGTTGCTGCTGCAGTTGTTACTCAGTAATTCATGTTCTATTCTCCTGCCATTATACCTGCAAAAGAACACAACTCCACTGCAATATCTGTAGTAATTCCTGAGCTAGCGTCGCTTGTGGTACGAGGTACCATGTACCATGAGTGCTCCCTAGTACCATTAGTAAGAGCCAATACCCCCACAGACCTGGGCCGTATCGCCAGCCAGTACTACATCAAGTATGACACGGTCACGAGGTAGCATGTACCATGAGTGTTCCCTAGTACCTTTAGTAACAACCAATACCCCCACAGACCTGGGCCGTATCGCCAGCCAGTACAGGTAGCATGTACCATGAGTGTTCCCTAGTACCTTTAGTAACAACCAATACCCCCACAGACCTGGGCCGTATCGCCAGCCAGTACTACATCAAGTATGACACGGTCGAGGTGTTCAATACGTTCCTGCGTCAGGTGATGAACGAGGCCGACATCCTGGCCGTCATATCACAGAGCTCGGAGTTCCAGCAGCTCAAGGTATGCCAAGTCCCTTTATTTCACACTACTAACGTGCATCATTAAATTTAAAGGGTATATTCACTGTCTCATCGTGGTTTCAGAATAATATTTGTGATGCCCCGTCGTGCTTGTCCACCTTAGTCACTTGAGCGGGCATGCTTTTAAGTCAAGTTCACCAAAGTTTGGTCAAAGTTCCCATGAAGAATTGGTGGCTTTTAACTGTAACTTGTATTAACTGGAACGATGTTTTGTAATTAATAGTTAGTAGCTGGATCTCGTTGCCATCTAACGATTGTATTCATAATCACGGAGAAATATATTTGAATTAGAATAGATATATATTATTAGATCTTGGAGATATAGTATATTAGAGAGAGAGCCAATGTTACTTCATCCCGACTACGTGCCTCACCCCATGCGCTGGAGAAGGGGGTGAGAATGAGAACTTTGTGATGCCCGTTATCAGACGAGGACGGACGATTACGTACAGATTTTGTTGCTCGATCATTACTATGATTATTCCCTGACCTTCTGACCTCCCTAACCCCCTTGTGTCGACCGTGGTTATTCCCTGACCTCTGACCTCCCTAACCCCCTTGTGTCGACCGGGGTTATTCCCTGACCTGACCTCCCTAACCCCCTTGTCTCGACCGGGGTTATTCCCTGACCTCTGACCTCCCTAACCCCCTTGTCTCGACCGGGGTTATTCCCTGACCTGACCTCCCTAACCCCCTTGTCTCGACCGGGGTTATTCCCTGACCTGACCTCCCTAACCCCCTTGTCTCGACCGGGGTTATTCCCTGATGACATGAACTACGTGACTGAGGTGAGGGGCAGCCCTCAGCATCTCCCGCGTCAGGGTCGAGGGCTTCTCCCTCGTGTCCGACATGAACTACGTGATTGAGGTGAGGGCAACCCTGAGGCACAGGCGTGACCTCCTGAAGAGGTAGGCACTTCATTTCACAAGAGAGATAACAATGTGACGGAGGACTTGGCGCCGGCGATGTTCACACCAAATAATAAAACATGTGACGATGGCCGACACGAGTCTCATAGTGGTGGGCTCGGTTCATTGGACAACAAAATTGTCCCATTGGTAGCCAGAAATGTCATTTGTCTTGATATAGTATTTTTATTAGCGCAATTCATTCGCCACGTGGTGCTCATTAATCATTATTTAATTTTTATGTATGTGGAAGTGATTACATTAAATTAAATTGCGATACTGTCGCATTACATACTATTTTTGATTACGATACCTACTATTGTCTTACATTTTAGTGTATGAGCAATCAAAACACAACTATTTAACTAGTTTTCCTGTTCAGAACCCAACTATTAATCTCGTTTCTCAGTCCAGAACTAAACTCTTCATCTCCTTTCTCATGCCATAACCCAACTCATCACCTCTCCTCCCACCAGAACTCGGTGCGCATCACACGGGCGCTGTTCGAGATCGTGCTGCACAAGAACTGGCCGCTGCTGGCGGGTCGCCTGCTCACCATGGCCAAGATGCTGGAGCGACAACTCTGGAACTTCCAGAGCCCCCTGCACCAGTTCTCTAAACTGCCCCATGAAATACTCAACAAGATCGAGGCCAAGAGACTCACTGTCGAGAAAATCAGAGACATGGACGCTAAAGAGATCGGTGCGTGGTGTGGTAGAGGTATTTGTGGTGGTGTGGTGGTGGTGGTGGTGGTAANAAAAATTCATCACTTGATTCAGTATTTCAATCGGCCATGATAATTCATGTTCAATTAGCAAGGTTATTTCACGGTGTGAGAAGTTGTGCATTTACAAATGATCATAGAGCCTTCTACCTCCCGCAATAAAAAGTCACTATTAATCTTCAGTATACTAATGTATTTCCATGTGTAAGTAATCAATAGTCTATTCATTTTATGATCAAAAATAACTATATTATATTGTATGGTATTTACCGAGACACTTGCAGAAAAATTAATGGCTCGAGTATTTCCAAATAGCGACACACTTTGTGCTTGTAGCACTGATACGCTATTCTTGACAGGTCATAAGTCACAATGTGTATTGTTTTATGGACAAATTCTCAATCATTTTTTTGAGTACACAACTTTGGATTTTTTGGCGTGAGCTTCGACAAGAAGCAAGGAAGGGGTGCTTCCCCCCCCCCCCTCCGCTGAGTGTCACCGAATTATTCTGAGCGCATGTATTGCCGGGGCTGAAATTATACCTTAAATTATACCTTAATTTGGGTAGGCGCTCGTAATCCATGGCTGAACATCTGCCCGTTACGACGGCCTTGCTGGTGGTGGTGGTGGTGGTGCTGGTGGTGCTGTGGTGGTGGTGCTGTGTTCGTGGTGGTGGTGGTGGTGCTGTGGTGGTGGTGGTAGAGGTGGTGCTGGTGGGGAGGTGAAGATGTCAGGGGGGATGGGAGGTGGAGGTTATGTAAAGCCCTAGGTTATGCAGGTTATGTAGAACATCAAGTTATACAGAGGCCGAGGTTATGCAGGTTATGTAGGACACCAGGTTATACGTAACAGAGGCCGAGGTTATGTAGGACTTCAGGTAATGCAGAGGCCTAGTCATGCGGGTGGCGGGTGTACTGCCCCAGGCTTGATGATGATGGCTTGATGGATGTTTTCCACCTGGATAAGGCTCGGGCATGTTGATGGTTGCCAAGCCACCAGACCAACATGGCTGTGTGTCAGGCAGGTCTGCTGCTCAAGTTTGTCTATCCGGCAGGTCTACTGCTGAAGTTTGTCTATGGGGCAGGTCTGCTGCTGAAGTTTGTCTATCGGGCAGGTCTGCTGCTGAAGTTTGTCTATGGGGCAGGTCTGCTGCTGAAGTTTGTCTATCGGGCAGG